GGTAAAGTTAGCGTCAACCCTCACGGGGTGAAAACGATATTTCCGGTCTCGAGGTTTTCATAATAAATCCGTATTCCCCTCACTGTCAAATGATTTAACAGTGATATCTGCAGTACTCAGCCACTAAAACACATCAGTTTATCCTGGATAAACTGATGTGTTTTAGTGGCTGAGTACTGCAGATATCACTGTTAAATCATTTGACAGTGAGGGGAATACGGATTTATTATGAAAACCTCGAGACNTACCTCCACACATATTTACTTTACATGTAGACACCTATTTACTTATTTATGTAAACACACCCATGTATATTCACACCAATCATATGTATAATATCAATGATATATATTTACTTATTTACACACATATTATATATTTTTAATCATAGTAATTTATTACGACAAGTCTATTTACTTCATGTGGTCATTATAGTTCCAATATAAGTATAGACGTGAATGTGGGTTCCGACTATTCTATAAATTTCGCAGAAACAACAAGACCTTTGCTGTAACTCCTATGTGTCTCCGATAATAGTGTACTATTTTGTGGTCATTATGTTAGAGGTTCCTGAGAAGCTATACGAAACTAATTGTCCTCAGCAAATGACAGTCGTTGGTGAACTTTTCCTGTTTTGGTTGATAAGTGATAGGACGAATGCGCTGCGCGATTTCACGCTTCTCTCCTCAGATCTGGCGATAGTGCATCTCGGATGCCGCCTAGGAACGCTCTCGCCTTCACCCGTCAATTTAGATTTGACCCAACCTCTTTTCCTGGCGTATTTATATAAATAATCCGGCCCTGCGCTACTTCTTACCTTCCAGATTAATTCATCGTCCGACAACATTATATTATATTTAACTACATCATCTTACATATTATATTATATTTAAGCAATAGCTCACGACAGGCCGTGGTATATGCTCATTATATCACAGCTAAGGGGCGTGGTTCGGCCCGACGCGAAGCGGAGGGTCGACAACCCCCTTAGCTGTGATATAATGAGCATATATCACGGCCTGAAGTGAGCTATTGCTTTTTATAAAACGGTTACCAAGTGTGGCAATATGAAAGACAAATACACAGTCTAATTTAAATAGTTTTTATTAGTAAATAATGATGTTCAAAATAAAATAGTCCCTCCGTTGCCTTCTGCACAAAACATAGTGCGAGGTGGTTGCTATGCAACAACACTAACAGCGAGCGAACATATTAGACAGAGAGCGTTGATCCATTATTTGGCTGTTTATTTACAGTAATGTGTATGTTGCTGTTTATTGTGCATCCACTGAAAAACTGTCCAGCATCAGTAGCATGGCTTACGTGGTCACTTGTATAGGTTGAAGTTGTTCTAGGCTGTTGCTTGGCGTGGCGAGAATATTGCTCCACTTTCTCCGGTCCCCGAGATTGGGCTTCCAGTAGCTCTGGAGAGAGCTTTCGCACCTGTGGCCACTAACGGTCATAATTTCTCTGCTTTGTTTCAAGACCCGCATCAGAAAGCTTTTGAATGGTGGTACTTTTCCAGTTGGTCTACCTGCTCTTCACGTAGCTCTGCATGTCGTCGTTTAGGTGCTTTTTTTTTTCTGGAGATATGCACTGCTAAATCCACTCCTCCGTAAGACCCCCCCCGGAGGTCGAAGTTAATTTTAAATGTTTCCATTTTATGCTTTGTAAGTTTGTTTCGTAACGGAAGAAATTTTAATATATTTATAAAACTGGCAAGTCAAATCAAGCAATCTGATTGGTCGATAGCGTTTTTGCGGACCTCTTTGATTACAGATTTGAAAACATCGTTGCTTGCTTTAAAAGTAGCACAATTCATTATGTTAAACCTTGGAAAGTATCTAGATATCCCTGCCCTAATGCCAAAGGAACTGAACACTGAATAGGTTTTTCCGTTTGATGTCTATGTCTGGACCGCTGCGTAAAAAGGAGGGTTTCTGCCCAGTTACTTCTCCGATGCTTTTTTGTTCCAGTTTGAAAAGCAGTTTGCTTTTCAGCCCAACTGTATACTGTTTTTCTCAGACGTGGAGGGATACTGACTTGTTGTGAAAAGTAACTTACAATTCTACCCGTGGTATAGGCTCAGTATATCACGGCTAAGAACCAATCAGATTGCTTTATTTTGACTTGTCCGTTTTATAAAAATGATATCTCTTATGCTGACTAATCCCTTTGAATAAAGTAGCATGACGTTGTGTATCATTGATACCAGCATATTTTTACAGTTTCAATAGTGGACATCCACAGAGAGCAGGTTTATTGTTTTGAATACAATTATTTTGCCATGACATTTAAAAAAGGTAATCACCGGGTGCATTCAGCTGTTTTTTTTGTTACATTATAGATTGAAAAGAGATTGCTTCTATGTATAAATATGGAAAAAGTCACAGATGTGCATTCCTTTTCACATCTACTCCAAGAGTAGGGAGTGCTTCAATAATAATTCCTTTTTTAATTTAACATGGATCATTATTAAGGCCTAATGATTGCGTGGTAATGAGCAAAATAGGTGAATACTTTGTAGTATAACAAGAACAAATTACCAGTGAAATGTGAACATTTGTTTGGGACATAACACTTTAAGCGGATAGATTGAAAACTTGAAGTTCCTTAGAAACAGTTGTATTGCTTAAAGGCAGCCATTGAAGGATTCTTACTGGGCTGAATTGCACACTCAATTAATAATTTTAGTTTTTTGTATCCTGACTTGTGAAGAAATTATGAATTCCAGGAAGGCCTGTTAAAAGTTAATTAGAATAATCAAGATGACTTTCATTATTTTTGTGAAGGAGTCAGTGGAGAGGTGACAGGAAATGAAGGGAAAGAGAGAGAACAATGTTCAACCAATGTCCCTGGAGCAATTTGAACTAGGGACGTTGCGGTTCATGGTTAGCATCTTCAAGCCAAATTCCTTGGGGGCGCCTTATCGAGTTGATTATGTTTTTTGGCAGGATTTCTTTGTAAAGTAAATATGGATGAAATGTGTGTAGATTTGCATTTTGGAGATTTTTGCTTGCTTAAATGTGTCTCTTTATCTGTTTTTGTTGTTAATTATTAAAATTGTTTATAAATATATTTTAATATTGTCTGTAAATATATCCATGGTTTTGTGGACAATGAATACAATTAAAATGTAATTTAATATAAAGGGGAAATGGCAATGTTTCCATAGCGTTTAAACAACAATAAAAAAAACAGGTCTTAGATGTTTTGGAGGCAGTTAAAACACTTTTCGTCATCTGTATGTCACATTGACACATTCAGTGTATGGTATTTGTTTTGGATAAGAGCCATAGCAGATGGAGAAGTGTCAAATAGCAGCCATACGCAGAAAAACAAATTCTCACTGAACTACCCAAGAATAGAAAAGTCTGTCAAAAGCAATAAGTAGCAAACATTTTGTGTTTTTGAATATCTATTTAAAACTATTTTCCTCCAAGCCAAGTGCCCTTTAAACCTAAATAATAGAATAAGAATGTTGGAGATTAAGTGATTTTTTTTTCTTCTAATGCTTTACTCTAAAGCAGTGTTTTTCAAACTTTTTCATACCAAGGACCACTTAACCAATAAAAAAACACTCGCGGACCACCTAACTCCACAAATGTCAAAAAACACATCGTTTTTCTAGAACAGATTATAAATCGCCTGAAAATGGTACAAACAAGTGGCAAAAGGTTTGATGGAGGTGTTGCACTGGGCTATATCATGCGGAGATATTCCCACGAGAGTACGGAAAACTTAAATTTATTTATTTATTTCAAATAAGAAATGTTAACAATATACTCAAGGACCACTAGGGGGCGTTCACGGACCACCAGTGGTCCGCAGACCACACTTTGAGAAGCACTGCTCTAAAGTATCAAGTTGGAAATTAGCCTGAAGTTGTTACTTGTTACTGGCAATGAGAGTGCTTTTATTAGAAAGAGGTCGCCCGAAGGCAGTGAATAAGCTGCTGGGAAAGGCCCAGTTTTCAGGGTGAGACATGCTAATGTGAAGAAAGTATTTTGTAACACAACCAAGACCTTAAGCAGTGCCCACAAGCTGACAGCATATAACTTACCCAGTGTAAGTTACCTTGTCTCTGGTTGAAAGAGAAGACATGAGGGTTATCTTTGTCATACCTGCCAAGATTGCAAGATTGATCACATTATCGCTCATTTCAGAATGTTCCTGGAGAATCTCACATGTTCCACATTATATAACCGCCATTTGGCTTTATTTTAAAGCTCCGTAAAATATGTTCATTTCAACTCTGTGTCAACAAGAGCAGGATGTAATGAGAAACTGATTATTTGATAGTATTCTGCACATGGGGAAGGTTTGTTTTGTTTTCATTTGCAGGTCAGAGGCAGCCGTTCCTAGCCCTCCATTTCCATCTAGTGGTGAAGGAAGGAACTGCAGAAGAGTTTTAGTCTTTTAGTCTGCTTAAATCCCTTGACTCAAGCTTTCACTACACAACTGTTGCACAATGTTTAAACATACATGCTGACTTAATAACATCTTTTATAACCTAGCAAAGCTCCTGTTGAGTGCATGTAGATTCCAGCATACCTTTTATTTAACATCAAACATTTGCATATCAAATAACTAAATCCTAGTGGTATTGCCAGAGGGATTTTCTATTGGCTCGTGTTCAAATGCATTGTATGTGACTGAGGGGCGGGACATCTCTTAGCGGTTGACCAGTCACAACGGAGCCGACCTGCTTACCAATCAGAGAAGACCGGGCTCTGGTTTCAGACAGAGGGGGAAAAGAGATATGAGAAAAATAAAGAGCCTTTTGAACATAAAAGCAATAAACATGTCACAGTAGAAGAACAAAATACTAATATGAACCAGAAAATGAGCATAATATGTCCTCTTTAAACTTGTTTTCTTTTACATTTTTGTGGTATTTGCTGTCTACTACGGTGTCTTTTTTTGTTACTATGACCAATGTAGGAATTGTTTTAATCCAAACCAAAGTGTATCATGATACAAAGAATAAATGCAGTGAGCTTTTCATTTTAATTAGGTTTATTTTTGTTTCGACAGCCAGTGCATCCTACCTCGGGGATCCTCGCTGTGTTCGTTGCTCTCAACTACTGTGATGTGGTCCACATTGCTGGTTTTGGATACCCTAACACAAAGAGCCAAAGGCACCCTATCCATTACTACGGATATGACACCATGAAGTCAATGAAGGTGGGTTAGCGGACATTTACAGTGCTTCAAAAGTAATCTCAGTTTTACCATACTGTGTCATTACATACTGTTACACTCTCTGTTGCAGAATTCTTACCACGATCTCAATCATGAAGCCGATGCCTTAAAAAGACTGGAGGATTCGGGTGCCATTTTGTACCTGCACCCACATCTATGATACACATACCTTTTTCGAGTTTGATTGAATCCAAAAATGTGACCGAACACCAAAACTTATTTGCATTTGGATGGGTCAACCCACTCAGATTCTAATGTGCCTTTTTTGCTGTGGGATACAAGACATTTTTTACATGTACTAAGTCATCATTAGGTGGCAAAAGTGTAAAAATGTCGAGCTCAAAAGAATGTTTATATCCCTGGCGCCTTAAATTCTCTCAAACTAAGACACATGAAATGTGACTTTATAATGGTTTTCCTTCAATTTGGTGACATGGCTTAGCATCTTGCATTATGTTTTATGATTGTAATTCAACCTGGATTTGAATCGCACCATTCAAAGTGAGTACGCAGGAGAACTATTCAAAGTTGTCCTGCTTGTGCAAAGAGAAATTACGCCTGATTTAGATTGGATAATCACTGTGCTTTGATTGAGCTTTTAAGACCATTTGATACTGTGGGCTTCTAATTTCCACGGACACAAGCGTTTTCGATCTGCAGTTTACATATTTGTTGTTGTTTGCAAAGATTAATGCATATCAGTGAGTTCCAAACTAATCAGACCGGTTTTTCATTGTACACACTCACTGTGGTTTAGGATTCAATCTAAAAAAACAGCATCTGTTTTATGTTAAAGAGGTGTGTACAAATCTACAGAATTTCACTTTTGTTGTTAGTTTAATTGAAATGAAAATGAATTGACCCCAAGCCTGATTTAAACAGGATTTAATTAATCTTATTTTTTGTAATTCTTGGACTGGAAATACTACTTGTATTTTGCCGATTTGGTAGCTTTTTGATTGCAGGTGTCTGGGGCTTTAAGTTATTCTATCCTTTTTTGTGTTGCTTTTTTGTAGAAACAAAACCAATAAATGGTACCACTGGATATTTGTATTGTACAGAATGAAATGAATGTCACTTGATTCTCATTTAGAAACGTTTCTGTTTGTGTCCTTTCATTTATGTGTACATAGATTATTGATCATATCCACATATCCACATAACCACTTTATGGCAATCACTGCATTTACATGAATTGACCTGAGGGAAGCTGCATTGTGCTGTTTTTCATTATCAGTGTACTCCAGTAGATGGCAGTGAGCCTCCATTGCATGCATATTATAAAGTAGGTAATCTACTGCACTGCACATGGTGCAGTCATGCAGCAGCCCATCTTAAAGTGCCTGGGGCAATGATAACAGAAAACCAAGCACTAGCACGTGTCCAGTAACACATGTGCAGTATGAACATCTGGAAGACCATAAATTGCACAATGCTAATAATTGCGAATGACTAACATAAATGTGCTGCTAGCGACAGATGTTAATAATGGTTTGTACTCACAGCCTTCTATTAGCGTTGACATGAATGGACTTGTGCCCCTTGGCATTTGTAAACTAGGCTTACTTATGGTGGTACAACATAAGCAATGACATGGTTCAGTTCTTCAGCTTCGATCAGATTGACAGCAGCTTTCAATCATAGGGATGTACAGTATCATGTGCTGTAACACTACTACAACTTCCATACTGCTATTAATAACTAAAACGTACATATTGATATTTTGGATCTCAAGATCTCAAGAGCTATTCGCCTGAATGCAGCATTGAATCTTTAGAATAGTGATGCATTTCTTCTCCTCAAGGTCAGACTGTAAGAACTCTGATGTCCACTTGTACTAGAAAAAAGCACAACTCTGGAGGTGTTTTTATTCCTGTGATTGAATTATACTGCTTCATCACCTCAGCTGTGTGTTCCCTTCTGCCCATATCTGTGTGTTTTGCCTGCATATTGCTGATATGGAGGGCAACCCCGTTTGCAGCAGGGTAGAGACCACAATCACACGCCTACTCTCGCATTCAGTTAACTAAAACTGTCAATTGTTGGTACTAACTGATTTTTGTTGTTGCCACTGAAAGCCAATCTGACGAACAAAACATCCCTTTCAACCCATTTAAAGCCTATCGTTTTAGCTGTGAGAGCTATCCATTATGTGTGAAGGGGGCTTTGTGTCATGTGGTAAAATTATCCTTTTTCATACACTGTTCATGCGTGTTTAAAAAATTACACATCTCCACATGTTTTGCTTCAGATGTATGAACACCTTACCTGAATTCTTCCTTAAAATATGGCCATTATATGTAAATTAGCTGTATTTGTTTTCCCAACAATACAGGGCAAGTGTTGAGGAAAGAGCCCAGTCGAGTCACGCTTTATGGGCTGCGTTCACTTCCCTTACACAACACTGAGTTACATAATTGAACAGGATTTGTATGAAACGGCGGGCTGTTTATATGACAACTGAAAATCAGGTCAGACTTTTCAGGGGAGAATATATTGTACTGTATAAGCACACCTTTGAACCACCGTGCACAGTGTGCTTCAGTATGCAACAGAAGGAGCATGTACATTGCATTTACGGTACATTAAGTCTACGAACATATTTTTAGCCTGGCTAGCTCCTCTGTGAATTAACCTCCTAACCTGATCACACTGTGGTGCTCCAACTGAGCCCTACACACCCATTTATGCATCTTATGGTGCCCAGAGGAGCATTTGGCCACATCACACAATACGATTAATTTGAAATGCATTGCTTTGAACTTTCGGGCAGACCCCCAGCACGTGCATTTCAACCCTGAATGCACCGGTTGTAAATGTACAAAGCCGGGGTTTCATAGAAAAATACATGGCCCGTGATGATTGCTGTGCCACTGCGTAAGTGCAGTCTCATGCAGGCAGAATCTCTGACAGTGTGATTGTTATTACAATTTATCTCATTACACCATCTGCTCTCAGCCTCAGCATCTTACTTGCTTTTCTAGATCCTCTGATACATCTCATGACGATATTGCAGACTCTGCAGTAATATACCTCACAAATGTTACATTTATAAACAAGTTGGAAATATAATTAAAATTGAGAAAAACATATTTTATGCAGGTGTGTGTTGTATTCAGGGGATCAGGAGCTGGAACACTTGCCAAGAGCCAAAAAAGAAACATTGCTGTTGTCTGCTTTCTATTTTTTGAATTGATGATATCAGGTACACAGCGATCCAATGAAGACACTTCAGGCGTCCTCTTTTTCTCATCATTGTTTAAAGAATGAAAACACACAATGTTGCTTTACGATGTGTCTGTGTAAGAAGCCCAGGGGACAGTTAGTGTGGGAAGAGGCAGAAGAGGTACAGTACTGTATGCAGCCAGCTACCTAGAGAGAGGGCATCTGGCTATGCTCACTGATAACTCCCCCACAGCCCAGAGAGCGGCCGTGAGTCAGGTGCTCATGAAAACACAACACTACCATGGGAACCCGAGAGTAGGAAATAGGAAGAGTGAGGGAGAAAAAATAAATAGATAAGCCGCTTTTCTCCAGTGTGAGTTTTGCTAGTTCTGCTTTTCCTTTTCCTGACTCTCATGTAGGTACAGCCTCCATGTGACGTTTACCATCCATTCCTCCATACCCAGGGGCTTTGGGCTGAAACAGAAAAGCAGTGTGTAATGCACAGTTTTCTCCCGTAACTGCAAAGGACAACTGTCAAAAATAGCAACAGACTGAGAAAAAAAGGGTAGAAAAAAATAGAAATAGACTTGTTCGCAACACTTTATGCTAAGCAGTGCCTTGTATCTGTTGCTCAGCCCAAAAGGTCAGCCAACTCAGCTGATTTAAAGGCTAACACGCTGTCATTGTTTCCTCACAGGCAGCCAAAGGGGATTTTTCTGTCCGCTCAGTGTTTGCCTTTTTTGCTGTTAACTCATTACAAAAAGACGATGATATGATTACCGAGTAAATGGGATAATTTAAATGAGATTTGAATGACAATCAGGTTTTGTAAAGGTTATGTTCATATTTATTCTAATACATGCTATAACAAGGTCATAAGGTAACTGAGAAGGAAATCACTTGAGGAATGAGGAGCTGTTTTAAGTTAATGAAAAGACAAATGGTGGCATAGAGGTTACAGGTCAAAAGAAAAAACAGAAGCTGATTTCCTCTCCATTTCTGATTGACCTCCAATTACAGCACAGACTACAAAGCCTTATGAGTATGTTTCTTGTGTGATTTAGGATGTACTGATTTGTTCTGGCTCCATGTGTGGATCTGCATGTTGTTCGTATCGCTAAGCCACATAAGAACGTTATCCCTCTCTACACATGGAGAGTGACTAGACAATCCTGTCCTCCTGCCTGTCGTGCCAGGGAGGGTGGAGTTTTTTTCCTGGCACCACTCTGTCTGTCAGTCTGTTGGTACATCTGTCGGCTTGTCCTCAAGGACTGGATGACTGGAGGCGCACCGTTCCTCTATAATACACAGCCCCGTATTTTATTTTGTTTATCCGGAGACAGCACAAGACTTGCTGCATGACCTGATGCTTTAGAGGCAACTTATAACTGCAGTGGTGTGGCTGTATATATGAGAAGGGGGCCTTCAAGAAATTATTCGAGTATGATACTGTGGGAAAATAGCTTTTTAGATTTAGTAATCAATATATTGGTGTTGTTGATATGATTAACTGTGTTCAAATTGTTCAGAAATCAAGTCAACTGAGAGGTAACAGTGAAGGTTCATTATATGTACTGAGGAAGGGCTAAGATGAATGACTGGTTTAATCACCCATGACTGATGGTATACAAGGACCACTTTCCTGAGTCCCTCTGGAAGAGCAGTTAAGTGTTAGTGTTTATGGAACATTTTGAGTTTATCCACAACAATCTGTGCACCCTTTGTGTTAGGGTTAGTGTGCATTCCCATTTGAGGGCTGGATACGGCAGAAAGTGATAGAGCAAAAATAATATATGTGAAAAATGTGGAGATGTACTGACTATAGTTGTAAGACTAGTAACTATGTAACTTCTAGCTAACCTCAAGTCAGTCATAGAACCCGGAGATTTTTCAACTCACGCTCTTAATAACGTAATTGTTATCACACAATTATTAGATTGCGTTGCTCTCTCTCCTCTCATTGTTTTGCCTTTATTCCTTCAGTGAAATTGATGATGGTTTTATAGTTCATGATGCAATCGGGCATACTTTGAGCCAATTGTATAGGGTATATTAATCCTGACTAACATTCAGACAGCATACAAAATGTCAACCCACTTAATAGCTGATTTACTTTTGGAAACAGCTTCTATCTTGTTTAAGTTATGTTAAAAAGGAGAAAAAAGCGATTTTGCTAAGATAGCAAATAAATTAGCTTAGATCAGTTACTATTTTAAGAACATGTTAGCAAACACATCTTAACAACAGGTTTTTCAAACGGGATATTTTAACCATCCACTCCTGTCTCATAACTGTCTGCAGACTATTCTGTAAGTAGGAGGAACTGTCATCAGATTTAGATTTGAACGTTGCTTAATCTGGAATATCATGGAAAAAGCTAAATTCATGTTTTTCAACTCATGCCTGCCCACAGTGAGAAGTAAAGTTACACAGAAACTTATTATATGAAATACCAAAACTGTTTAAAAAAATACAATTATGTATCATAGGCTGCTAATTGACAAAGTTAAGTGGCCAAATGATTGTGAGTGGGTGGCTCAGTTGACCATGCAGATCAAAGCGAAAACAAAACAGTATAATACAATCAAATAATGAAACATCCATGGTCTCAACGGTGGTGTTACACAGTGTTGAAGTATAGCAGCCAGGAAAGTAAATAGTACATTATGTATTGCACAGACTCTTGTTATTGCACATGTCATAGTATGTATCTTGTGTGGTGGTCTAGCAGGGACAGTGGTGATAGTACAACATGACATTCATCCATGAACTACTTTGAGACAATTTCCTGATTTTTTTAAACTGCTTTTACTGTAAGCGAGTAAATCCAGTTCTGAGCTGATCAGAGAGCAGACACTTTCCTACTGGCACAGACAGAAT